TTTGATGTAAACAAAACTTTACAGATGATGAGTTCGAAGACAGAGTTAAATAAAAATAGTTTGGCTATTTTAAACGAATCAATGCGAACCATGTTAGCCACCACACAGAACCAAACAGAACAAATCGGTATACGATTAAATGAGATGGAAACGAAAATAGAGAAAACTATCACACAAGAGCAGATTAATATAACATTAAATTTGGTAGCCGGTCTCAACAAAACTCTACACGAATTGAAAGACCAGTACAACCGCGAAGCATTGCTTTTAAAGTTTACAAAACAGGTAAATTATTCTCCAGGAAATTTTACGTTTTATTTTGTTCTTGTGTTGATCTTGCATTTTAGGTTAAACAATTTTTTTCAATTAAAGGAAGCAAATATGCTACTGTACGAACTGAGCTTTCAGTAAACTTACACACTTAAACGTTTTCAATAGACAAAAATTGTTAAATTAAATTATTCCCATTGAAAAATGCGTTTGTTTTGTATATACTATTATTAAGCTTTATACTTCTAGGCGGGATGCTTTACATATTTTTTTACCAATTGAAAAGTGTACATTTAAAATGTGGTCTATTAATGTCTATATATCCAGTGTGTCAGGAACGAAAACTCAAGTCTACCAGAACAAATGATACTCCAACTAAATGAAAGCAAACTCGCCTTGTGTGATACCAAAACAGACGGTGGAGGATGGATTGTTATACAAGTAATGTATGCTTCATATTTATAATTCATGCAAACTATTAACATTCAGTTATTTTTTTTACATTGATTAGCATTTTTACTTATAAAGTTAGGTTTTTTAAATATGAGTATCATTATTTGTTGTTTTTGCTCTGACAATATACCGACCACCGCTCAGTTTCTAATTATTTTAAAAGAAAAGATACCAATACAATATCTGTGTAGCTGTTTTAGAGCTGCCGGGGTTTAATAAACCAAACATAATATAAGGACAGTTAAAAACTAGTGCTTATAATAGAGTATTACATTAATAATTTTTCTTCTTAGTTATTAAAAAAGTAGTTTATATATATATATATAATACCTTTGATTTTTTATATCACTTTTATGAAGAAACAAACTAACAAATTAACTGTAAACCTGTAACCTTTAAGTAACCCAACACAGTAGCTTTACGAGGCGGGGGCATCACAATTTAAACTATTTTTTATTCAGTTAACATAATAAAATATCAAGCAGAGGGTGTAACACTCCACCAGAAATGCAAAATTGTTAGACGGGGTGGGAGTGACACTCATTAAACCCACCGGGTGATATAGAACCTTGTGACGCCACTAACCAGATACACATTTTTAAAAGTTGATCATGATTTATTTCCATTTGTTTTCTTTCTTATACGTTTGCAAAGTGATTAATATGTTTCTTGAAGTCCATTTTAGCTGCTTCTGATTGTTAGATACTTTGGAAGGCGAAGTTACTGACCCAAAAGGCATATCTACAACTTGTTTCATAACAGCATCATAATGGAGGCGGCTGGAGGACACCACTTATTTTCTTTAGCCATTGATTATAGTAGCCCTCCGTATCCCAAGGGCATGGCGCTCACTAAAACAAGTGTATGCGCCGTAGTTCTGAGGTGAACCAGGGGCGCCAGCTAATGCACCTGTGCAGTTTGACCGTTGAATTAAGCAGTAACCCCGACCCCTTGTGCAGTACACCCAATTAACTTGCCCAGGTGCTAAGAAAGCCGCTGGGAAACTGTGTGGCGAACCGAACCGCCTTACTGTCAAGGGGCTGCTTTCCGAACGAAATAAAAAAAAAATTAAAGGCAGAAAACTTTGCAGGAGTCAGAGTTTCTTTGTGACTTCTCTTCGAGAGGAGAGGCACTGCTACTCATGTATGGGTTGTGGTAGGAAATTTCACAGTCAGAAGAGGTTTTTCTGAATTATTCTAAACGACTTTCCAATGTTTCTTGGTGATATGCTCATTTGGTATTAATACATAAAGGACAAGGAGACAGACAAACAAAAATCTTTAAAGTAGCGGCACATTGATTAGAGATAAATTAGATCAACAAACGCATTGAAAAACATCAATCTCATAAAAGAGTCAATTTTCAAGTTTATTTATAGGCTAATTCTCTCAACGGCTTGCCCGACAATGCAACAATGCCTATAGTGTCATTAATACCGATGGGCCTTGTACAACCCTTACACCTCCCCAGTAAGAAAGGTCTAGGGACCTTTTTTGGATTTTTAAAATTACTTCTCCAGTAGAAAAGAAACTGGATTTCCGTTTTCTTTTTAAAATTATTTTTATAATACACAAATATTAAAATTCCAATGTTAAAGTTTAAAAATTTAAGGAGGGAAAAGAGCCACTATTTGCCTTGGGCCCCTTTGCCTTACTTACGTTAGCTTTACGGTAGCTACGCCACTGGAGTGATCTCCCTTAAACTTTTTCGAATATTCTTATATAACACTACGGGGAATGGCAACTCGGGATATGGACATGATTTTTTATCCATTTTTTAATTACATAAACTTTTTAAAATCAAATCTCGTAGAAAAAAGAATTTCACACCAAGTGAACGCCAAATAAAATGTGTATAATAGTACGGATTTTTTTAGTACTTTATTAATTGATATGCGTTTTTTTGAGAAATCGGAAATTGCCTAAATTAAAACTTACGGTAAACGGAAGTAACTAAAAATTTGATATAAGGCAGATAATTAGATCTTTTACTTACATGTGAAATATTTCGTTGATCTATCTGAAACAGTATTAAAGTTACAGGCTTTTGAAAAACGATTACAAGACTTTTTCTATACTTCGTATATACCTTAAAGTAAAAATTGCTCATTATTATAAAGGATTTTGTATTCTTATATACGAAGTATAGAGAAAGTCTTGTAATCGTGCAAAGAAAAATCGACGTTTAACAATTCCCTGATTAAAAAAAAAACATAGTTTTGCAATCGTGTCCGTATGTCTGTGTGTGTGTGTGTGTGTGTGTGTGTGTCTGTAAACACGATAACTTGAGTACCGCTGCAGCTAAGTTGATGAATATTCATATTTAAGTATATCCATATCAACTTTTGAGCGCTTTCCGATAACCGGAAGTGGAACTTTTTCTACTTTGAATTTTTCAAAAGCCTATAACGTGAGTACTATTTCAGATAGATAAATGAAAACTCACATGCAAATAACAAATCTAATCCTCTACAGTCTTTCGAATTTTGAGTAATTTCCGTTGAACGGAAGTATTAATTTTCGCTATTTCAATTTCTCAAAAAACGCATTTGAATTTATAAAGCATTAGTAATATTCCGCACTAAGGTCACGCGTCTAAATCAATACAAGACGTTATCTTCTTAAAGGTTTGCATCAGCCCGTGCAGCGCGCGGGACGAGATCGCTAATTATTATATATTTAAAGAAAATTATCTTAAACTTATTTTAAAAAAAAAAGATTATTATTAATTTGTTTCTATGCATTTTTTAAAAATAAAAGTATCAAAACAATAATCTAATTAACGTGCTGTGTGACAATGACTATGATGCTGTAAGTAATAGTAATCAGATAAAGACATGGGGACTTAATCCTATGGTATTGTACTTATTAGGATGTATTTAACAAAATGTCATCACTATTAAATCAAAAGTAATGTTTAGTCCGCTTTGAAACATGGACATTAACATACAAATTAGACTACCCCCATAAGTATCGATGCATATATTCTAATATCTCTATCTCTCTCTCTCTCTCTCTCTCTCTCTCTCTCTCTCTCTATATATATATATATATATATATATATATATATATATATATATATATATATATATATATATATAATTCTCTTCTTGGAGACCCTAGAAAACGCCAAGCTGTAAGTGCGCCTAGCAATCCCTTCTCTTCCTCTCTAGGCATATCGCTACCACCCCCATCCCCACATGGTCTGGTGAGCTGTGGTTCACGCTAAATGTTTACAATCGTAGAGACGGGTTTAGTGACGACTATTAGGGGCAGTTAATTCAGTTTGAAACGATTTTAAACTTAGGGGAGGTAACTAAGAGGAGGCTGCTTTCATGAGGGGGGGGGGTGGGGTTGGGGGATGGTAGGGTCTGGGGGGAGGAGGGTTTTAGTGTTTAAAAGCAAATATTTTCAGTGGCAGCATTGGTACTGTCGAATTCACAAATTATAAATTACTGGAAAGTAGAAAAAACAACAACTAAATAGCGGCGTATGATAGGCCGCGGGTCGGCTCGTACTACTTAAAAGTTAATAGATTTATTTAAATTACTAGTTTTAATTTGTGTTATCAATTACTAATCGAATACCCCCTAAATATTTTCTTTCACAACTGACGACTTACGACTAACTCTAAAACGTTTTGGACTTAAAGCTAGTTAAAACGAACAATTTTCGTGGATCTAATCCTTATTGGTCACATATTCCTGGTTGGCTCGTTCAGATTTGACCAATGGTTTGTGCCTCTTCTGATGTAAATATATTATTTGCTTGATTGCGTTATTTAAAGACATATTATGTCTCATGGTACGTGAAGTCATTTTTTCTGCCTCAATTTGTATTTTGTACATTGTACAAGAAATTAACATTTACTGATGAGACAATCATAACCTAAATATGTTTTTTTTTAAATTTGATAGATTAGTTTTGTGTAAGGACAGTTGTTAGATTGGCAAATATAAGCAACATTTTCTAAAATTTTTAAATTACTTCCATTGTAATTACTTTTATATTTCTGTAATATATTAAGTATGTATTATAATTATGTTTGTCTTTATTTACATTATCTAGTTTCTGTCACATTTTTGTCATTTCCTTTTGTATATGTTTACTAAACCGTCAACACTTGCGAATCGGTAAACAATTCAATAGTAGGGATAAGTAGAAACATAAGTGTATTTAATTTTTAAAAGTTGAGTTTACAATAATTGTAAACTCAACTTTTAAAAATTAAATACACTTATGTTTTTACTTATCCCCACAATTATTGCCAAACGATCTTAGATTAATGAAAAACATTTTCGTGTTTAACTTGTTTCAGAGGCGTGTGTCGGGTGACATAAATTTTATCAGAAACTGGAGCGACTACAAAAATGGTTTTGGATCTTTGGCTGGAGACTATTGGCTGGGAAATGACTGGATCTCAAACCTCACACAAAACGTACTTTTGAATTTCAGTTTTAACTTAATTAAAAGTATGTCTTCTGCAACTAGCATGCTACGAACATAATTTATAAAAATGTAGTGTTAGGTAACATTTATCCGTGTAAGATTCTTTTATTAATTACTATTGTCGTAATGTCTTATCTTCACTGCCAAATATGACAAACTTTCTCGGCTTTGCTTTCACCCCTACCATCTATCACACAGCTTTCACTAAATTGTATAATTGACCAAACGCTGAGATATTGGGCAAGGGAGGGATATGTAGTGTTATTTAAAAGTGAATTAATACAAACATTTACATTTCCCTATACTCAAAGGTGTACCTAAACCATGAAGTAAATTTATTATTTTGGCCTAGCCGTCCAATAGGATGGATACAATTAAGTTTATCATTTTCTGTGAAATACAGCATATAACAAATATAATGTTCTGTTATTAATTTCACTATTGACAAATTACTTAAAGTCTAATGTTTCGTCACACACACGTTCATAAAAAGAATATCTTTATGTTAATATTGATTATTGAAGATGTAAATATATTTGATTACCTACGGACGAAAAAAGAATACTTAGCATTAAAAGCCCAGAGCTTATTTAAGATTTTTTATACAAAAACGTATTCACGCACATGTTGACGCATTCACAATATCATTAGAATAGATACAATTGTTTCATAGCTATACTAAATCATTATCAGTGGTATCAATTACGCTTTATGCAGTGCACAATTATACATTATATATATATATATATATATATATATATATATATATATATATATATATATATATATATATATATATATATATATATATATTTATTTATTTATTTATATATATATATTTATATATATATTATTTTTTTTCAATTTACAGGGCTACAGTGAACTGAGGTTTGACATGAAATATAAAGGTAAATCCTACTACATGGTGTACAGTAATGTGACGGTGGGAAATGAAGCAAATTTGTATAAGATAATGTTTACATACAAGACAGGCAACGCTGCAGATGACTTTACTTGGCACAATGGAATGGCTTTTACCACTGTAGATAGGGACAATGATGTAAACTCTTATAACTGTGCTGAGAAATGGAAAGGCGGCTGGTGGTATGGCAGAGATTGCTATCGTGTGAACGTAAACGGTGTATGGGCAAGTAAAACTTTTGGTGAAGGGATTATCTGGTACAGTATATCAACATATGATAATTCACTTGAGCACCTTGAGATGAAACTACGACGGCCGTGATTATTAAAATATAACACGAATAATAATATATTTTGCCGATTTTTACACATACAGCTTTACATTTATGAAGACATACATTTTTATACAATAAAAACTATTTCTTAGTGTTTGTATTGAAATTTAAATTGCGATTAAACAAACAACAAAACCGCATCCCTTAAAAATTAACGTTCAGTCCACTGCTGAATTAAATTTCTGTTGACTAGATGCTTGTTTCTGCAGAGATCTGTTGTGTTTCACATCAAAATCAGATAAAATTGCAAAAAAATTTCAAAATGTAAATAAGCCTATACGTACAGTTGTTCTACTTTTATTTGAGAACTGTTATGTTTTACCAGTTTTACGTTAATAAGTAGGAAAGGAGAGTAACACAATTATCTAGTTGAGCCAAATTCTTGCTTAATGCAAACATATTGTCAAGACTAAAAGTAATGCAGTTAATAAGATTTGATTGTTTATTAGAAAATAGACAATAATAATTTTTAAATAGTTGTTTAATTTTTAATAGTTGTTAGAAAGTATTGATTTTTAAAATGGTAATGAACATTTCCGAAATTATCAAAGAGAGGATCAATTATTTATACCACAGGTTCCCACAGTTTTTGGATGGGGATCCTCCATTTAAAATATTAAATAACTGTGACGCCGACACAATAAAATGAATAATTTTACACAACTTTTTTTGACTCTGCAAAAATAAAGTACTACTTGCAGTTACCCGCAATAGTTCAAAAGTTTACAAGAGCCTGAATATCCAATCTAATCCTGATAATTGAAGTTTCGACTATATAAATAAAGAAAAGATAATAAATTACAATTTTTGGTTAATGAAAATTGTTTAAAAGTTTATCAAAACGCACATATCGCATCAACTACGTATCTTTCAATCTATGTTTATCAAACTAATGATGTACTAAGGTTATCATGTTCACAATCAAGCACACACACACAAAAAAACACAGAAACATACAGACAAACAAAGAGAAAGTAAACATCAAATTGAAATTACACATGTTCCCAAATCAGGGTGTAAACTTTGATTCCATTTTTGCACGATTACACAAACTACTATACTCAGTGTACAAGAGCGGAAAAATAATTTTAAAAAAGTTATATAAAAACGGTAACTTTTATTTTAAATTTTAGTTAATATTGATGTAACTTTATGATTGAACATTATGTAATATACAAGCCCTAAAGTCGGAGGTACCATATGTATTTAAGCTATATACCAAAACTTTCTAACAAAAAATCGATGCAGTTTGAAAAGCAGGTCAAAATGTTAGTGTGTTAAGATCAAAGCGACAGCTCGGTAGGATGATAGATAACAAATACGAAAGTCTCGAATTCAGTTCCTGGACCCTCTTGTGTTAGCTTGGAAACGCTATTCATCTAGTAGAGAAAACTCCGTTGGAGCACTTTCAAAAAGACAAGCTAAATAGGAATAAACGGGACAGATGGCTCACAACATGTTGGCACGTAATAACGAGATAACTTAGATGTTGGATGTTTTATTTGATCGCCACTAACAATATATTTTAAAACAAAGAAAAACTAGATTCAGATATTTAAATCATTTGGTATTGCTAATCAAAGGCGTCCGAATTGTATAATAACTCGCGATAAAGTATTAGAACACCCGATGTTAGCACAACGTACCAAATGTGTATGATTGATCAACTGGGGTGGGCATTGATATGTTTAATATATAAGTGATTGTGAGAATCAGTTTAAGTGTATAAACATCGATGCAACAAAAATGCATATGATATTATACATCTTTTCATTTTTCATATACCATAAACAACATAGGATATGCATCTTTTACTGGTTAACCAACTTTGGTGAAAGCCCCACTATGGACTAAGAACTCAGGACCTTATCCGCCTAACAGCTAACTTCATTGTCCTAAAATCAGGTTCATATTCGAGCATCTATCTCACGACATATAGGGTTAGTAGGCTAATATATAATTGTGTTATACATTTGATAAAAAAATATTCATCTCGACTCCTTACAACTTTTAGAGGACATAACACTTTTAAGAAAATAAAATGTTGTCATTTATTTTTAGTCTGCCTTTAGATTTTTAGTTTTTATTTTCTGGTTGTTTTTTTTTAATGGATTCAGAATTAAAAAAAAATAATAATAAAAATGTCGGTTTTACTTCTTAGAAAATAATTATATCAAAACTAAAAACTTGTTTTAGGCAACTGTTTTATCAGTAGACCTTACATATCTCGTAACATCCCATAATCTACCACCACTCCCAACATTCCTTTGAGGCATCATTGAGTGTAAAACCTCTTCCATGTAAATAATCCTTGAAATCTAATATAATTTATTTATCTAATATTAGTAGAACAGAATTAATTAGCAATGTTAAAAACAAAAATTGATAGTGTATCGGATACTTCTTCTACTCAGAGACAAATTTAAAAATGGGGTAATCGATACCAATTCTCAATCCTAAACAAAATGTGTTTTAATTTATACTCTAAGTGTTAAAGGTAAATAGCTAATCGCCGTGATAACTTAAAATATACAGTAAGTTCAGTATATAATGTATACCATTATAATGTAATACTAGCAGGAATTATATAATTCAACCAGTAGGAAGGTCTGCGCCACTTCACCATCTGGAATAAAATGCGTCAAATAACAATATTTCTACTGACATCTGAACAAAGTCACAAGCAAGATGAGCACTTAATAAAAATACAGTAGCTAGCAACAGCAAAAGTAAACATGCTAATAGTTAAGTCTGGCGAACTCTTGTCTTGAAAGGGTTTGCAGCCGGCAAGTAAACTTAATGAGCAGGTCCGATGGCTACGGGTCAACTCAATGCCCGCAATTTACTGTAATAAAATTATAAGTTACTAAAAACACTAAGAAAACTATCAGAGTAAGTTAAATGTGCATTTATTAGGTTCAACATACACTTCGTAATAATAGTATATAAATTACATGAATTTCAAAACGGTTATAGTGCATAATAGTGAATTAAATAAAATAAATATCCACGAGCACGTAGCAGTAGTCCCATTGTAAGAGCAGGCTATATGTGCATTTGTTAGAAGTAACAAATACTTGGCAATATTGGTATATGAATTACATTGGGTACAAAATAGTTACAGTTAAAGTAACTAAAAATACAATGAGTAAAATACAAAACCAAGAGCACGAGGGAGTAGGACCGACGGCCCTCAACTCCACGTGCCAGTAAGAAGAGAAAATAGTTTGGTTTTATCCCTTTTTATGTATTCATACTGTGGTGTGTCACCTGGACAATCTAGCCACTATAGAAAAAGTTGGTAAGGGGGAGGGTAGCTGGGAGATGGTAAACAAGATGGCGGTACTTTTTTTTACAATGGCACGCAGTTTAATAAGATAAACAAAAAATATCCATATTAGATGGAAAGGATCTGTGTAAAATACATCCCAAATTTAAAATACTTCGAACGGACACTTGGGCGAGCGAATCTGTCCCGGTCTTAAATAGGGAGTCGGTGTGGCCAGATAGTATAGCGCATGACTGCTAACTAAATGTCTGGAGTTCGAATCCTGGAATCAAGTCCGTAGAAAATCAATGAGTCTCTCTTCGGCGTGGTAGGGTCGGTTAAGCTCATGGTTGCTGAACTGATAAGTCCCGAGTTAGATCCTCGGGGCAGATAAGGCTCGATATGAAAGAAAATCCAAATAGAAAAGCAGTCTGAAATCGGAGTCAACAGCCTAAATGAGGCAAAACGAGTTGACATGTATACTTAATTGTGTTGGAGGGGAACCCCTTTCAATACCAAATTTAAGAAAGTAGAAGAAGAAGACGAATGAGTCTCTCCAATTCTAATCCGCACTTTCATGATAGTGAAATAAACCATCCGCTACATTCTACAATATCAGAAATCACCGAAGATCAACCAAGAAGACACAGCCAATCAAACGTCGCTGAGCTCTTTACTTCCAGAAATATTCGAAAAGACACGATTGCAGAATACTATTAACTAATGAAAAAAGTGCGAAGTTAACATATCGATCAACAGTAGCTTACACTCTAATTTATTTTGTGGACTAATTTACCTCATGCAGACCGATTCCTCCTGGATAGTATGTAAACGGTGTTTATTCTACATGATCAGGTATGCCGCTTTTCATTTATATCTTAAAACTCCGATTTTGAGAATCATTTTCCTCATTTTCAGGATTAAAAAAAAGTCATTTTAAAATTTCCGGGTTTTTTTAAGTTTTAAAAAAAAATTGCCAAGACTATCAAATTTTGCTAATCTAGATATCGTTCAGATAAAAACTTTTTAGCCATTCGCGCCGTAAGATGTAAATAAAAGTCCATGTCACGAATTAAATCATCGATACATTTCTCGAATTATAGACTTCTAAGTTCTTGAATGTTAAGCTATGAGTTTAAATTCTAAAACCTGAAGTACTTAACAAAATAATAACTTCACAATTGGTTTCTAATTAAACGAGGAATAAACCACACGAATGTCCATTTTTCCAAAGACAAACAAAATCCCACATAGGATAATATACAATTATCAGCTTTTGCAGGTTTTTGAGAAATCAGAAATAGAGAAAAATACCGGTCCCAGACATCGGAGGTCACTCAAAAATTAAGTTATCTAAGTAGGCCTATACGATATTGTACTTGTTTTTTTTGTAATTAAAATATATTACAACAACATGTTATGTGTGTGAGTGCATTAGTTTGTTTTGAAAATCTCTGTTTTATTTTATATTTACCGTAAAACTTCCTATCCTCAAGCCGGTCAGAATATAAAACGTGAAAGCTTTTTATGTGTAGAGGTTTCTCGTGCTATGTTTATTTTTACAAGCTTTTATTTAACTCACTTCCTCTGTCTGTCGTCAGTCGTCAGTCTAGACGGAAACGCAGGAGTGAAAATTCGGACAGTTCTACTTGACCGACACGAATCACAGTTGGCACGTGGGTCAAGACATGAAGACAATGCAATCTGAAACTAAATTTGACTTAATTGGATGCCTAATTGATTTTTTATGAATTAATTAAAATTTGGACCGAATTAGTAGGCATGTCTAGCCAACCACACCACACGCGTCATCAATAGCTGCGCCATCACGACCACGTAATGGCTGCGTTAAAAACCATTGCGCGCCTACTGAACGTGATATTCAGTAGGCGCGCAATGGTTTTTAGTCATGTAACTCTATTGTA